ATCCAGGCTGCTGCAGCCAGTGGGCAGCCCTTGTGTAGCTTGCACTCAGGCATGGGTTTCCCAGGCAGGTACTCTTAAGCAATTTCTAGGTAACTTGTCTTTCAACTGGGTCCAGCTTTTTGTTAAGACCTCATTTTTAGAGCAATTTTAAGTTTATAACAAAGCTGAGAGGAAGGTACAAAGATTTCCCATATGCCCTTCCCCTAACATATGCACGGCTTCCCCCATTATCAAAATTACTTACCAAAGTGATGATTTTTTTTTTTTTTTATAGAAGATGAACCTTCACCGATACATCACAATCACCCAACATCCAATTTTCTGAGGGCTTGATCTTGGTATTGTACATTTAATGGGTTTGGACAAATACTTACAGCATTTTCACTGTCCTAAATAAAGATTCTTGTGTTCTACCTAATCATCTTCCTAGCATCACATTTACAACAACTGCTCTTTTTTACTGTTTCTGTACTTCTCTTTTCCAAAATGTCACATAGTTGGACTCATACAGTAGACAGATTTTTCATATTGGCTTCTCTCAGTTAACAATATGTACTTCAGGTGCCTCCACATCTTACCATTGCTTGATAGCCCAATTGTTCTTAGAGTTGAATATTATTCCACTCTCTGGATAACCCACGGTTTATCCATTCTCCTAATAAAGGACATTTTGATTGTCTCCAGGTTTTGGCATTGTGAATAAAGCTGCATTAACATCTGTATGCAAACTTTTGTGTAGATACAAGGTTTCAATTCCTCTGAGCAAGATAAATCATATGGTCAGAATGTGTTTAGTTTTGAAAAAACTTCCAAACTGTTTTCTAAAGTGACTGCACCATTTTGCAATGAATGCGGGTTCCACATCCTCACCAGCATTTGTTTTGGTGTTGCAAATTTTTGTTTTCACATTTCGGCATATATTCATCCATTTTTTTCTCATATTTTCACATCTACTAGCAGAGAGTAGATAGATACTCACAGCTTTCCTGTTTTGTTTTTAATGCTTTAACATATTCTTCATGTGTGGTTTTTCAGTATGTCTTTTTCTCTTGAAAATCCTCTTGAATGAGGATTACAGCTATAAAATGTTTTATATAAGACTGGCTTTTGATTTTGTTTATCTCTGTTAAAGTTTTCTCATATTAATAATTTATTATCTTAGTCTTTATAATCATCTTTCTTTTGCACTTCCTAATTACTCAGTTTTCATTTTTGTATTTCAATCATTATTCCTTTTAAAACTTGGAAAACTAAATCTTGAAAATCATACAGAAAAATTTATACAACCTTTACCAGAATACATTTGTTTTTCATTCAGTTCTAAATAACTAGTGTTTTCACTGTGACTTCCTCTTTAATGAGGGAAAGAGGAATGTTAAATTCTCACACATGCTTTTTTTTTTTAAGGATTTATTTTATTTATGCATATAGAACTGGGGTATAGGCCAGAGGTGCAGGGGCAGTAAGAGGCTTCCCCAGAAACAGAGTGTGGAGCAGAACAGGCAGATACACTAAGTACACTGCTGAGGAGAGCAGCAGGCTGGTTAGGAGAGGTCTGCTTCTCCTGGGGGCAGACAACCATGTGGATCACCTCTGGGGCCAGGGATCGAACACACCCTGCAGCAGCTGCAGAGATCTTGCAGTGCTGCGTCCTAACCGCTGCACCACCAGGGAGGGCCTAAATTCTCACACATACTTCTACATGTTTTGCTTAGGATTTCTAGTGACTTCTGACTTATTAATTATACCAGGTCAAAGAAAGTGGCTTACATGTAACAGAGTGCTTAAGTTAGTGGAACTTCCCATATATGGGCAGATTTTTAGAAGTAACTCAGACTGTAGAAAACAATCAGGAGTCTTTCTGCTGGGTCCAGGGTTCTCTGCATTCCTACTAATTTAAGTCCTTTAATACTGTTAAGGATATTCCTACTATCTTATTCGATATTTTCTATTCTACATTCTCTTTTTCTTTACATCTTAATTTCTCTCTTTTTTTTTAAATTAAATATACACATTTATATCTTTTTCTGCTAGATTAGAAACTACGGATTATATAATATTGTTTTAATAACTACAGTAATATTACAGTTGTACTTAATATTTTAAATACCTAATTAAGCATAATATGATCCTAAGTTATCCTCTATTTTATTTCTTTTAACTGGGGTCAGAGGAAAGGATGGAATGTGTATGCCACATCTAATGATTTAATCACTCACTGAATGACATTACTCTCAAAACATACACACAAGAATTTCCAATGTCTTATTGTAATAAGTTTTACATTAGCCTTAATTTATCAATTCACAGGGGTTAATCTCCCCCCAACACACACCCCCACAGGGATGAATCTTAAGACGTTGCATCTCTGCACACTATTGTTTCTTTTTCTTTTTTTTTTAAATTTAATTTATTTTTTTAAAGATTTATTTATTTGTGCATACAAAACTGAAGTACAGGCCAGAGGTGCAGGGATGGTTAGAGGATTCACCAGAGATTTATTATCATTCTTCTTTTCAGTTTTTTGGGTAAAGCTTGGGGACTGTCATTCTTCAGGACTGTGTAATCTCGGGTAGAATCTCTTCAAAACTATCACTGCCAGTCCTCCCATGTACCATTCTTCATGATTCTATAAGAATGTGTCTAACAGCACATCTGACATTTTCTATGTCTCTGTAGGACCTCCAGTCCTTAATTTTCTTTAACCTGAATCCAGCATTTCTAAAATGCCAGTAACTATCATTTCATTTCCACAATTTTTAGGGACTCTTTTCCCATACTCACCAGTTGCCACTTCACTCCTTCCACTGTGTTTTACAGTTCCTGTTCTCTATTATAGACATTATTTTGTTCATTCATTCCCTGAGCATTCTACTCATATCAAAGTCTTCTGTCAGATTTTTTTGCATATGATTTAAATGGCAATCTGTTGATTTTCATAATTAATTTCTTAAGATACTGCTTAATGTGTCTGAGACTGTTGACTGGTAGGCAGCTTTGTTTGTATGGGCTTCATTTTGTTTTTCTTTTCCACCATCTGTCCCCTTCCCCTCCCTGTGTGGTGGAATCTACTGCCTTATGGAAGGCTCAGAGGCTGAGCCTGGGTAGCCCTGTTAGTCTGGCTAACAGACCTGGCTCTACTGACTGGACCTATTTGTCTAGCCACAGGTTATTTCTGCTTGCTTTCCAGGGTCTTTCAGGAGCAAGAAAGCCCCACCCATCCGCCTGGTCAGAGGTGGTGAGCATGGTCCTTACTACTGCCTGGGACCTGAGCTGCCAGTATGAAGGAACTTTGGGTCCATAGCCTGGAGGCCACAGGGTCAGCACTGCTCACTGCTCTGTCCCATATCTGCAACAGGCTGATTCCTCATAGTGATCCTGCTTTACAGCTACATGTGTGGAATTACTGAGGGATGGAGCAGAATACAGTCAATATAAATGGTAGACCTAAAAGGAGAACCCTTCTGGGAAGGTGAGTTTAGAGTGGAAGGGCATTTACTTATTTCTTCAGTGTTCTAAAACTCACTTCAACTGCTTGCTATGGAACTCCTCACCAGAAAAAGAATTTGTTTTCTTCCACATCAAGCCTCTTCTATCCTCTGTGTCACAAATTTCCCCTAATGAGACTACCTATCATTTGCTTGTTATCTACAAAACATCGAATATACAACCTGAAGACACAGGAAAAGACTCTTGCTTTAAAAAGACCCTTCTGTGCAATTTTTTTTTCTAACTTTCCAGTGCAGTATTAACATGGATTTTTATATGACTGGTGATTATTTTAATTTAAAGGAGATTATTTATAAACAATAAAATGATGAGCTGAAGTTTTCCTAAGTTTCAAAGCTAATATTAAGAATTGATTCTCGGGCCCTCCCTGGTGGCGCAGCGGGTTAAAGCACAGCACTGAGAATCTAAAGCCGCTTCCGCATGAGTTCGATTCCCGCCTGCCCCAGAGGTGACCACATGGCGTGGCAGACCTCTCCTGACACGCCCGCTGCTCCCCTCAGCAGTGTACTTCGTCAATCTGCCTGTTCTGTTCCCCACTCTGTCTCTGGTGAAGCCTCTCGCCGCCCCTGAGCCTCTGGCCTGTACCCCAGTTCTGTATGCACAAATAAATAAATCTTTAAAAAAAAGAATTGATTCTCTTTCCCTACATCATCTGATTTGAAAGTAATCTATAAGATAATCCTAAATTTATGCCTGACCCAGAAAATATTGACTAAATAAAAGACAGAGAGAGAGAAACACAAAGAAAATCCTAACTGCTTTTACAAATATTTTAATCTTGAGAGATTTCTCTCTGATATCCTAGTTAATTCTCTGTATGCTTTTTTGTTAATTTTCACATTTTTTTCTTTAAGCAATTCAAAAAATCTGATTATTCAATTCCTACAATCTCTAGAGCCTCCAATTTCTTGTACTTGAGCTCCAATAATCCCAACAGCTAGCCATGTGCATCTCTCCTATTCTCATAACTAGCTAGCTCCTGGCTAAGGTCCCCATCCTACAGAAAAGCTGCATTTATTAGGCCTTATACAATAATCCTTGCATCTGTGAATCTGTTATACTTCTTTGCCATAATGACTCCCTCAGAAATTAACTAGAAAGAACAGAAAGAATTACAAAAAGACAGAGAGGTCTGTAAGTGCAGATATATCTCAACTCGCTTAAGGGTAACCAAGCCAGGAAGCTGTGGCTAAGGGAGAGTTCACTAGTGATGTCAAGCAGACATTAAGTAGATTCCTGCGACAGCTGAGAGAATTTTCAAATTCTGCTCACTGAAGTAGTTAACGTACAGAAAATAAATGAAATTATCATAACCACATTTTTTTTCTTTTTCATAATTTGTATTCCTTAAAAAGGTAAAGAAGAGCCAAAATTAGAAGCTTCTCATATCAGTACATAAAATTTCTGAGAATACAAAGTCCTGGCACACTGCAGAGCTGTAGCTGGGAGGAAAGGTAGAAACTGCCACTGTACTTTTTATCATTCCTTACCTTGGTGATTTGCCAGCCGGTCAGACTGCGTCGGGAAGCCAGGTCCCGCCAGGTCCCGTGCACTGTGGGATGAGGTCTGCTCCACCTGGTCCTGAGAGAGGCAGGGCAGAGAGTGGTCAGAAGCTTTCCTATGTCCGTACCTACTGCCCGACATCCCCTTCTCCTGGAATTCTTTATTGCCTGTCACTCTATCTTTGTTTTTTAAGTTTTAAATGACAGTTGTTTAAAATATTCTTTAAAAGGGAACTTGATCATGAAAAGGTATAACTTGCTTGACAAAGAAGTTAGAAGAAACATTATGTCTCTCTCTTTTTTTTTAATTTAAATTGTTTTTCTCAAATAGCAATTCAAAAGTTATTTTCTATTGCTCCAAGGAAGGGGGGCTGTAAATAATTAGCATTTCATGGATCTCATACATTTTCTGTAACAGCAATAGGTAACCCAGCCCTAGGCAACCTGATACTTGTTACTGATCATTTGAACTAGTCCCTCCACAAAGTATAAAGTGTAAAGGAGCCAAGTGACATTTTTCAAATGTCAGGGTTAAGATAAACTTCTCAGGGAAAAGTTAAAAGCAGTAAAGTTATGATCAAGCCCACAACATCTTCATGGGCTAAAACAAGCCTTTGAGTGATACATTAGATACCTTTAACATTGGATACATCAGATACATATCTTCCCATGTGGGAAAACAAAGCAGACCTTTGAATATACACCTGCTTTTAACAAAATATTAGTAGTGAGTGATTAACAAAATGTTAATAATAAGGGGAGATATCAGTATCTCTTACAAATCCAAGAAATCTGTGAAATGTTTAAAATGTATTTACTTCTGACCTTATAAAGCTTTAGAGCTGTGTCAAACGTATAAGATCTGTAGTAAAGTCCACAATTAATATTAAAAATATGGTATTAGAGTCATCAAACTCATCCCTATCTATGCAAAGGAACCTCCCAGTACTGCAAACTGCAGCATGTGGAATTGTTCTCATGTCTGTATGCCCATGTTGGGAGAAAGCTAATCTTCTACCCTTGTAGGTTGATATGACTAGAAAATAATTAAATTGACAAGTGACATTAGCAAACTTAAGTGATATGTGCATTTGCAAACACAGAATAATGGAACCATAATGTGGTTATACCAGTGAGGTTATACAATTTCAAGTAAGCAGACAATAAATTTAGGAGGCAAAGACAGAACTTTGCAGTTTATAGAAAAGGGCATTTTCCTGGGTTTATCCATATATGCATAATAAACAGACCTGTCCAGTTGGGGTGACAGGGCTCTCATCTCAAGGACTACTGATTTTATGAAAATGGATAATTAAACAAAAAGTATCATTCTTAGATCTTCTATCTTTTAATTTCTTTCAATTAAAAACAATCACTATGCCATTTAGGCACACCCTGGGGCAGCCTGCAATAGCCAACATGCAGAAGCCGACTTGGCTGGGTTCCCATCTCACAGATGAGAACATTGATGCACAAGAAAGCTGTGTGCATCTCATGATCACTCAGCGGGCACAGCCCTAGGTTTAGAACCCAGCAGCTATGTACATGATTACCAGAACTGCCAAGAGACTCAAGAAAATACAAGTATTTCTATAGGTGCTTCACTGCTTGAAAGTAAGGAACTTGTCCCTGAACACTGCCTTTCCTGAAAGGATGATAACTTAGCTCCACTGTGTAAACATAACCTACATGCCATAGGCATGGGTCTGGTCACTGCTGTGAGGGGGTCACTCACAGGAGCGGGAGTGTTGTGCAAAAATCAACAGGGTTAGCTCACCCACATCCGCTACTCCAAGAAAAGGAAGACACTGCTACCTCAGAAGGTACTGACACCAGACATGCCCACGGCCCCCCCTGAGCACACGCCCTACCTGAGCTCACCACCCATCCAAGTCTGCCCAAACTCAGGACAGATTGGGTGTAGATACGTAGCAGAGCTTTCAATTTTAAATACAGTACCAGAATTCTAAATGGGATAACCAGGTTCAAGGGCCCAACAGATCAACCAGTGCTATTCAAAGCTTTTGAGACTATTCAGAATTATAAAATGGACCAATCTAACCAGAGCTTAATTGGCACCAGTCAAACAGCTGGAATTGTATGTGGATGGGTCAGTCTAGAAAGGCAGGAAGCCTGAAGAGGATATAAGCCAGAGCAGTCACCAGCTTGAGTATACTCACAGACAGCTTCCAATCAGATCAATCAGGACTCTCCTTCACAGACTTTGAGACCTTCCAGAGACCTGACCACGGCACCTGCCTCCCACCCTAGCCCTGGCAACACCTGCAACAGAGCACCCTTACCACTGGTCTTTGCCTGCAGTCTCCAGAAAGAGCTGTTTGCTGTTGGCTAATGTAAACATCTCACAAAGAACGATGATGCGGGTGCCTGTTTTCTGGTGCCACTGCCTGCTGTCGGGTGCTGACCAGCACCACTGACCTGTGCCCAGCACTGCTGAACTATATCTGACCACTGAGAGTTTTCCACTGCTTCTGATGCTCTGGCAACATGGGTACCACTGCAATCAGCACTGTCTGGCCAGCATCTGGGGCTGTGCAGCCTAGTCTTCCCAGTGAGACCAGTGGCTGCTGTGGTATTACCACAACAGCCCCACCTGTGATCACCTCCAGCTGCCACTGTGAGCTGGATCCTGGCTCACTACTTAGCAGCTCCAGGCTTTCACTGAAGGGACAATGCCCGCTTGCACAAGCAGCCTTTGTTTGGAACTACTAGGCACTGCAGATACTGTCCCGGGTCGTACAGCTGGCCACTCATGGCCTTGGATACTTTCCTTTTTCCAAATCTCCCCTTTGTTTATAAACCTGGTTGTTGTTACTTCCTGAGCCTGAGTGGTCTTGCAATTGTGAGGACACATATGAGGATTGGGTGACCTATCCCCCTGCCTCAACACTGTTGTAAGGGCTCCCAATCAAGCAAATCTGTGAACAAAACACAGTCCCACCACAACGAACTGTGTGCTGGAAATCAGTTATTAATTAGTTTATCTGTCCCTTAGGAATTGCTGGATAGCTTGTGTAAAGGCGAATGAAGCACAAAACAAGTCTAAGGGCACGGGTGTATGCCCTAAAAGGCAGCCTTAATCCATCAAAAATTTTGGTTTGCTTCTTCATTTCTCCATTATGAGCTTTTTATATTGCAGGAAACCAAGCCTGGTCGTATTTAGGAAAAACTCTTCTCCCACCTTGTCTTCATATTTAATTATATTTGTGATTCACAAAGGTTTAATTCAATAAGGTCAGGTTTATAACTGCTTTCACCCTTTATCAAGAAAACAAAAAACATCCACTTAACATTTTATTCTGACTTCTTTCCAAATATGATGTCAGACTCATTCAACTATCCTACATTTATTTTGGTGGCTAGTAACAGGTGAGATTATAAATTGAACGCCCCAAAACGGTTGACAATTCACCCAGACCCATTTAATAGCCAATCATCCCTTTACACATTAGAAGGATACTCACATCCACGTTATAACCCTACACAAACATATCTGTTCTCAGCAACCTCCTCATGGCTTTCCCAGATCTGCCTATTTCTAGGCCAATACTCCACATTTTCTATGCACACGGCCTGCCAACTCTCTCAGCAGCAGCACCTTTCCCTTCTAGCTTCTTTTGCATGAATTCCTCAGTCATTTTCTTCCAAAAACGAAATTTAGAATACTTTCAAAGTGTGTTTAAATTATTAAGTTCTCATGTGAAATATGTACTTATATGTAGTGAGTAATTACTACCTACTACTAACATGAATCTTGGTAGTGGGTCATCTGGTTGAAATCAGATCATGCATGTCTGGAGTATAAATAAAGAACCCGTTACCCACACATTTCAAATGGTCAAGGGAACAGCCTCCCAGTCATCCCGGCCCCATACTGCTCTGCACTCTGGGTGGGCCTGGTGTGGCCCTGCAGATGACTACTGGGTGTTTCCAGTGCATGTCAAAAGCTTAAACTCCATCATCCACACCACATACACTACTGATAAGTGGACTCTACTAACATACATATTCAAATGACAAGTAACTTGCAAACCTAATTTAAGGCAAACTCATCTAAATATTGTCGCCACATTTAACAAACTAAAAATATAGGATGTCCAATAAAAGTTGAACAGCTAAGACAACTAATAATTTTTTTTGGTATATGTCCCAAATATTGCCTGGGGCTTTTCTAAAAACTAAATGGACAGGAGCTTGAGACAAAACTTCTGTTCTTCTAAGAAACCAAAAAAGATGTAATACTATGAAATAAATGATGGTGTTTGCAAAATAAAAACCAAAACATCAAGGTGGCAAGGAAACTAACTACCATGGTATAGAAACAAATCTAGCCAGCCCTAGAAAGTCAGGTTCAGTGTGTAGCCACTCTTCAAAGGCAAATAATAGCACTCTGCAGGTGCAGGCCAGTAAAAGTTGGGAGCGTAAAAGTTTCCTCACTGCTAGCTGGATTTCCTTGCAAAGCCAATTTTGTTTGCTGGACGGGTTTCCTTTCCAGGTTGGTGAGAGTCCCTTTAGGGACAGGACAGGCAGGGGCACTGTGGCCAAGGGCCAGCACAACCCAAGCCCACCTCCTCTTCTGTGAGGTGAGCCTCCCTGCAGGTGCTGCCAGCAGCAATGCATCTTGAACCAGTAAAAGTTGGGAGCGTAAAAGTTTCTGGGAATGGCAGAACCTGAGAAAGGGAAACTCTGATGCCTTTTAATTAAAACTGTGGTTACATCACTAACCCATGTGGCTATACAAATACATTCTCAAGTCAGAAGCAGGCACCCAGTGGTTCAAGGACAAAAATGCCTTTTTTTTTTTTCACCTCCTATAAGGAATCCTGTGCTATAACTCACTCAACTTGCCAAAGACCTCTGAGGTGGTGGGAGTTCAGTGATGTGGCAAAGATAAAAGAGGGGAAACTGAGAGCTGATTCTCTAGCTAGGCAATATTGTCCCTCCAGAAATTTCTTCTCTGAGCCACATTTCAAGGGTTGTCTAAAATGCTCCCCTCTTCCAGTCTTGGTCCCTCATGCCTCTTGCTGGCACCAGGCTGGGGCACCAACCCAGGTGGAT